AAGGGACCACTGACAGAAAAATCAGTTGAGGGCCATGCACAAATAAGCAAGAAAAAAAAACACACCCACCCCCCAAAAACAAACCCCTCACTGGGACAGCACCCCAACTGAGAAGGAAAAAGACATTCTCCACTTTTGCCTCGCACACCAGAGTGTTGGGGGTCCCAGGCTAGTGGATTGTGTGTGCCCCAGCCCTGCAGGTGGGCAGTGGGGAGACTGGAGCACCAGTGTGGGCTCCCCACTACTGGCAGGGAGCGCCGAGCCTCAGGGGCCAGATACAGACAAGTCAGGGGCCGCATCTGCCCCCCAGGCCTTAGGTTCCCCACCCCTGTTATAGATGGTGAATGTGTGCAACCAGCTAGACTAGGGATGGGCAAAAGGGCTACCACAGCCCTGCCCCCCCCCATCCACAAGCCCTGATTGGTCTGAGGGCAGGAGGGGTGAGGAGCACACAAACTCTCCTCCCACCCTGTGAGAGGCACAGTGCTTCTAAGCACCGCACACTCCTTGAAGGACAGTCAGGGTGGGAGGAGTCATAGCACTCTTCCCTCCCTCCCCAGGCCAATAAGGGCTTGGGGGTCGGGGGAGCATGTGAAGCCCCCCCCATCCACAAGCCCTGATTGGTCTGAGGGCAGGAGGGGTGAGGAGCACACAAACTCTCCTCCCACCCTGTGAGAGGCACAGTGCTTCTAAGCACCGCACACTCCTTGAAGGACAGTCAGGGTGGGAGGAGTCATAGCACTCTTCCCTCCCTCCCCAGGCCAATAAGGGCTTGGGGGTCGGGGGAGCATGTGAAGTTTCCTCCCACCCTGCAAAGGGCCCAGCACTTAAAGTCAACCATCAGCTGCTGCTCAGCTTGCAATTGACTCTGAGGCACCCCCTTCCAGGGCGGGGGCAAGGACAGAGAGGCATCACGTGCACTCCCTCCCCAAGCCCTGATTGGCCTGAGGGCAAATGGGGGGAGCCGTCAGCTGTTCAGAACCGCTGGTGGGTCTCTCTGGGCAGGGAAGGGACAAAGACTTTGCGTGTTCCCCCACCCCCAGACCAATCAGGGTCTGTGGGTAAGGAAGCACAGAAGTGTCCAGGCTCTTCCCCTTCCAGTGGCCTGGAGCCACTTCAAAAATTTCTGAAGTGGCCCCCGATCAAAAATTATTGCCCACCTCTGAGCTAGACTGCTTGCTCTTAATGAAAATCCTATGCACAGATTCAGAAACATTTACTGAGCATGCCCAAACACTATCACAAAGCCACCACCCCCCACTAGGGCTTTGTCTACACTGGCGCAATCCTGTGCCAGAAATATGCAAATGAGGCTAAGCGTGGAATATTGCCGACCCTCATTTGCATATCTAATGAGCCACCATTTTTACGGAAGAGGCTCTTGTGCAAGGAGCGTCTACACTGCCTCCTCTTGCGCAAGAAAAACCCTCTTGCGCAATGCTGTTATTCCTGAAAATAATCAGCCTAATGGCATTGTACAAGGTTTTTCTTGCGCAAGAAGGGGCAGTGTAGACGCTCCTTCTTGCGCAAGAGCCTCTTCTGCAAAAATGGCATCTCATTAGATATGCAAATGAGGCTCGGCAATATTCCACACTTAGCCTCATTTGCACATTTCTGGCGCAAGATCGTGCCAGTGTAGACATAGCGTAGATGTCTCTAACCCTAAGCACCGACTCAGAAGATTCATCATAACTCCATCTCCCATCCCCTCTCCTTCTCTCCCCTCCTTCAACTCCAAAAAATAATCAGTTCCATCACTACAAGCTGGTGGGTTATTTACTCATCAAAAGAAGGAAAGTTGCAGCCATGTCTGGTTTCGTTATTGTTTCCCTGGGAAAGCATCACCCAATGTTTGTGATTTCCACTAGTAATGTCAGGTTTGATCCATAGGGCACTAAATGGCATGGGGCCCAATTACCTGCAAGACTTCACTCTGCCCTGAGGAACTCAGTGGAGCCACCGGAATTGAAAATCGGCTGATTTGAAAGCAGGGGAACTGCTAACAGGGCAATTTCTGAGGGAACCTTGCCTCTGGAACTTAGATTTGTTAACCCGGGTATGTTGCAAGATTCATCTATTTTAATGTGCTTGTTTGTACAAAGTGGGGTGAGGTTTTATTGTTCATGGAAAGGTTCTGACTATTCTGGGATTACTGTGTTATGTACCGAGCTTGTTAGTTTATCAGTATAAAGGTTGTTTTAAAATAACTTGGGCAGTGGAGTCTTTTATTGTACTAAGGCTATTGGTCCTTTTGCCATGGTTTTAATATCTGTACAATGCCTAAAGCAGTGGTCTCCAACCTTTTTACACTCAAGATCACTTTTTAAACGACAGAACAAGCCAAGATCTACTGCCCTGCCCCTTCCTTGAAGCCCTGCCCTCTCTGTTCTCCTCCCTCCATCACTTGCTATCCCCAGCCCCTTACACTGCTGCCTTTCCCCCCCAGTTCTTCTGCAGGAAGAAGTTTATCCAACATTTGGCCTGTCTAGACTTGACCAAATGTCAGAAAAAACCCTTCTTTTGGAAGCCCCCTTATTCCTTATGGAAAGAGGAATATAGGGGTGACCGAAAGATCATGTTTGCTCTTCCACTAAAAGAAGTGGAAGAACAAACGCATCCCTGGATGAAGAAGAGTTTTTCTGGGATATCTCCAGAATCCTGAAAAACTCCTGCAGTCTAGACATACCCTTGCTGGGTTGAGACAGGATGTGTAGGCTCCGGGGAGGGAATGAGGGACTTGGGTGCAGGAAGGGATGAGAGGTGCAAGCTCTGGAAGGAAATCCGGATGCAGGAGAATGTGGATAAGGGGATGCTGGCTTGGGGAGGGAGTTCCAGGCTGGGGAGTGTTGGGGTCAGATGTAGGGTTAGGTTACTAAGTAAGCCACAGACTTCCGGATGTGAGGGTTCAGGAATTTGGGGTGAGGTATGTGAGGGGCTCAGGGCAGGGGGTTCCAGTGTATGATAGGTTGAGATATAGGGTCTGGGGGAAAGGGGAGTGCAGGAGTGTCATGATGCTGTGGCCAGATGGGGGCTTGGCCCCAATTGGGGGTTTGTTGGCCAGGCTTCATTTTCAAAGAAAATACTATGTCAAACACAAAAAGTTTCTGCATTGTCTTTATTTCTGAGAAGGGCAGGGAACCTGTTTGGACAGGGAGCCGGGAGGGCAGGGGACCAGTAGGGACAGGTTTCTGAGGCTCGGAAGAGGGGGGAAGAGAACAGGGGGAGGTGGGAGCAGAAAGTCCCCTGCTATCGCCTCCTCCCAGGATTCTCCCCCACCCTCCCAGGGAAATCAGCGCGTGCCTCCCGCAGTGCAGTCATGCCCCTGGGGCAAACCCCCTCTCCTGCAGCGCAGCATGGCCAACCCGTGGCAGGGCGAAACCCCCACAGGAGCCTGCCCTGGGGCCAAACCCCTCTCCCGCAGCGCAGCCAACCCCCGCGGGCGCCTGTTCCGGGGCCAAATCCCCCTCCTGTGGCAGGGCCAAGCCCTCCCGTGGCAGTGTGGCCAACCCCCAAGGGTGCCTCAACTCCCCCTCCCGTGGCAGTGTGGCCAACCCCCAAGGGTGCCTGCCCCGGGGCCAAACCCCCCTCCCGTGGCGTGGCGTGGCCAACCCCCTCTCCCTCTGGTGGCACAGGGAAACCCCTGCACTCAACTCACCCCTCCAGCACCGGCAGCGCAGGGAAGCCACTGCACTCCTCCTCCAGGGCCGACGCCCCGTCCCCCAGCACGCAACAAAGCTGTGGGAGGGGAGCAGCCTGAACTTCCCAAACCCCCGGAAGTGACACAGGCTTCAGACAAGACTTCCATCCACCCTGCAGGAAGCTGGCACTACACTAGAGGTAGGTAGTGGGGCTTCTTGGGGGTGGGGGAAAAAATGGGGGGTGGGGGTGCCCAAACGCCTCACGATCAACGGGTTGGTGACCACGTGCCTAAAGGAGTGATAGCTGAGGTTTAAAATTTACATTTTACTAACACCCATTGCTGTGCATATTATGGTGTTTAGAAGCCCCAGTCATGGACCTGGACCTCATTGAACTGGGTACTGTACAAACACAGAACAAAAAAAGAGCTTTAGCTACCTCCTCTCATCATCTTTCTTAAATAAGAGGAAGCCTACTTGACATTACTGTGCTTCTTCCTGTGGGCCCAAACCTACAAACCTGTGATAAAACTGCCCTTCTTTCAGCAGATTTTGTGCATATGAAAAAATACACAATCAGGCTCACTTTGTTCTTGAGAAAAAACCCAACATACCTGTACCACAGCAAATGACCTCTCTGCACAAACTACCCAAAACATCAATTCATCTTTCACTTTGGGCTAGATTCTGAGACATTTATTCATTACAGGTAGCCCTTTTTTATCTGTGGATAGTCTGTTATAAGATGGGTCTAACACAGTGGTACCCGCAGCCCACCCCGCTCAACACAGACCTTTTTGAGGCCCACCAGCCACTATGATGACTTGAGAGGGTGAGGATGTAGGGTCTAGCCAGTAGGTAGGGTACAGGAGCAGGCTGAAAGTGAGGATTTTAGTGGGAGGGAGGTTGCAGGATCAGGCTGGGGTTGTGGGGGTCTCTGGGAGGGAGGTGCATGAAGAAGATGGGGGCATGAGGATGATAGGGGGTGCTTACCTGGCTCTGTGCCTCCCTCTGCTCCCATTGACCATGATTCAGACTAATGGGAGCAGCAGAGAAAGCCTCCAGGCGAGCAGTTTCCTGTGCTACTGTTGTTCCCATAGCTGAGTGAAGGAGGAACAGCAGCATGCAGAGTCACTTTCTTTCCCCTCGAGCAAGATCCAGACCATGAGGCTTGCCCCCTTCCTCTCCCGCAGTGGGAAGCTGTCACTTGTGCTCCAACTTTGCAGGAGGAAGAGGTGGGGCTGGAGCACTAATGCAGGCTCCCAACTACAGGGGAGGGGGGGCAGTCCCGAGCCTGCGGACCACCTGCAAGACAGCTGCAAACCACTAGTGGACCACGGACCACACTTTGAGAACCACTGGTTTAACACATTCTTATTTATTTTGTGGCTTTGATTTCATTGCTGAGCTGATTATACGATTATTAATCTTCAGAGATTCTTCATTTAAAATGAGTGATTTAGAGCCAGACAAGTAGAACACTACAGCATCTATCCTGAATTTCGTCTGAAGTACTGAACCTCAGTGACAGCAAGCCAAGATAATATTTTAAACCTGTTAATCACATTTATATTTACAAACATTAAAAACACCATTTAAACTTAATTTTTTCATTTGTAATAAATGTATTATGCTCATCTTCATTATTTATATTCATACACAAATAGGCATGGTACCGATCCAGTGTGTGCATGGTTAAAAGACTGATCGTTTGTGTATATGGCAAGAGGATTCATTTGTGGATTCAAGACTTGTCAACCTGCCAGAGTTAAATATTTTAGCTTCTCCATTATATTTTCCTTAGGAAAAATATAAACGTGTATGAATCATTCTGCTAGATGTTGAACTGGCCAGCATTTTGTCCATATCGCTTTTTATGATTTCATATAAGTTTTCAGGGAAGTTTCCTATATAGTTCTGATGACAAAAGCTGCTCACTGCTTTTCACATGCCTAAACAATTTTAAACACAATTGTTCTTTTGATCTTCAAGCACTCTTTTACTTGTTTTTTTCTTCTGCCTTAAGGCCTTTTGCTATGCATCTGGAGTTGAAAGCTAGTAACATTTCTCTTGCTGTCAAGTTGGCTCCTTTCATTATTAATCTGTCTCCATCAGCTATAAAGGAAAGATCATAAGTGTTAGAGATGACAAAGAAAATTGTAAGAAACAATTTAATATACATTCAAACTAAAATAGGTGTAAACACTCAGTTCATTCAATTTACTTAAAGGTATTCAATTATATTCCCATTACTCTTGAATCTGTGCACATAGCATACATTAAGGGTATGTCTAGACTGCATCCCTCTGTTGGCACAGGGATGCAGATTAGGCAGGTCGACATTGCAAATGAGGCAGGGATTTAAATATCCTGTGCCTAATTTGCATAAAAATGGCTGTCGCATTTTGCGGACTCAGCACTTTGTTTGCAAAAGGCAGCCGTCTAGGGCTCTGTGGAGAAAGAAAGCCTTTTTCGACAGATCCTGTAAACCTCCCTGCAGGAGGCATAAGGGATCTGTCGAAAAAGGCTTGTTTTCTCAACAGAGCCTCGTCTAGACTGCCGCTTTTTGCCGACAAAGTGCTGAGTTGGCAAAACGCGGTGGTCATTTTATGCAAATTAGGCACAGGATATTTAAATCCCTGCCTCATTTGCAATGTCGACCTGCATAATCTGCATCCCTCTGCCGACAGAGGGATGCAGTCTAGACATACCTTAAGAACAAGCAACATTATAAAGTTAACTGCCCACAACAATAAAACTAGCATCCATCTCTGACCTGCCTCATCCAGACATAAGGAAAAGCTCCCCAGATATAAACTAGTTTTCAGAACAGACATATTCCTAAAGTAATTTAGACTATTCTCTGAAGGTCAACAAACTCGGACTCTAATGGTATACTAGAAAAATAAGTCAACTACATTAAGTCAACTTACAGCTAGGGGTATAGGGTCAGTGATGCGCGTCCTCACCAGAAGCACTTCCACTGACCTAAGAGGGACAGTGTAGGGAGCTGACAGCCCAGTCTCTAAGCTCCCCTGGCAGCTCCCTCACAGGAGCCCAGTTGCCCCCAGACTCCCAATGGGTTCTCCCCGCTCAGCTTTGTGGTAAAGGGAACAGCTGCCTGGGTAACGGCCCTACCAAATTCACCATCATGAAAATCTGGTCTTCCCCCATGAAATCCTGTCTTTAGTGTGCTTTTACCCTAGTATGCTATACGGATTTCACAACGGAGAACAGCATTTCTCAAATTGGGAACTTCTAAAAGGAAGTTGCAAGGCAGTTACAAGTTTATTTTAGGAAGGCTGCAGTATTGACACCCTTACTTCTACATGGCCTGCAAAGCTGGGCAACCAGACAGCTACTTGGATTTCTTGTCAACTTCACAGCTCCTACCAACAGTGGAGTAATGCAGTGTCTACACATACACTGCTTCCACCTAGCTACAGTGACATAACCCTTACACCTTGTGCAGGTGGAGTTATAATGTTGGTGTAGTAGGGTACTTACAATGGCAGGAGGAAAGCTGTAGGGTAGATATTGACATAATTAGGTCAATATAGGCTGCCTTACATTGACCTAACTGTGTAATGTAGACCAGTCTAAGGAAGTGGATTCCACATCTGACAAATCACATATAAAGAGGCAAGATGGGTTAGGTACTATCTTTTAGTGGACCTCCTTCCAGCAGTGAGAGAGACAAGCTCTTTCACAAACAGAAGTTGGCCTGATGAAGATATCACCTCACCCACTTTGTCTCTATAGTAACCCAAGACTGACAAAGCTAGAATTCTACTACATGTCATGACAAAGCCGCTGGACCCCCCCCCCCAGCAGACCAGGGACACCAGAGCAAAGCCGCCGCCTGCAGGGAGATGGGGAGCAAACCGCGGAGCACGCCCGCAGCGGGACAGCCCGGGCGCGCTTGAGCTGACCAGCAGACCAGGGAGATGGGGAGCAAAGCCTCGGAGCACGCCAGCAGTGGGACAGCCGCGGCGCGCCTGGACTGTCCCGCTGCCCGCGTG